TCTAGTCTAGTCTATAGAGTAGTCTATAGAGTAGTCTATAGTCTAGTCTATAGAGTAGTCTATAGTCTAGTCTATAGAGTAGTCTATAGTCTAGTCTATAGATTAGTCTATAGTCTAGTCTATAGTCTAGTCAATGGAGTAGTATATAGTCCAGTCTATAGAGTTGTATATAGTCTAGTCTATAGAGTAGTATATAGTCTAATCAATAGTATAGTCTATAGTCTAGTCTATAGTCTAGTCTATAGTCTAGTCTATAGTCTAGTCTATAGTCTAGTCTATAGTCTAGTCTATAGTCTAGTCTATAGTCTAGTCTATAGTCTAGTCTATAGTTTAGTCTATAGTCTAGTCTATAGTCTAGTCAATAGAGTAGTATATAGTCCAGTCTATAGAGTTGTATATAGTCTAGTCTATAGAGTAGTATATAGTCTAATCTATAGTATAGTCTATAGTCTAGTCTATAGTCTAGTCTATAGTCTAGTCTATAGTCTAGTCTATAGGCTAGTCTATAGTCTAGTCTATAGTCTAGTCTATAGTCTAGTCTATAGTCTAGTCTATAGTCTAGTCTATAGTCTAGTCTATAGTCTAGTCTATAGTCTAGTCTATAGTCTAGTCTATAGTCTATTCTATAGTCTATTCTATAGTCTAGTCTATAGTCTAGTCTATAGTCTAGTCTATAGTCTAGTCTATAGTCTAGTCTATAGTCTAGTCTATAGTCTAGTCTATAGTCTAGTATAGTCTAGTCTATAGTCTAGTCTATAGTCTAGTCTATAGTCTAGTCTATAGTCTATAGTCTAGTCTATAGTCTAGTCTATAGTCTAGTCTATAGTCTAGTCTATAGTCTAGTCTATAGTCTAGTCTATAGTCTAGTCATTGGCCTAGTCTATAGTCTAGTCTATAGTCTAGTCTATAGTCTAGTCTATAGTCTAGTCTATAGTCTAGTCTATAGTCTAGTCTATAGTCTAGTCTATAGTCTAGTCTATAGTCTAGTCTATAGTCTAGTCTATAGTCTAGTCTATAGTCTAGTCTATAGTCTAGTCTATAGTCTAGTCTATAGTCTAGTCTATAGTCTAGTCTATAGTCTAGTCTATAGTCTAGTCTATAGTCTAGTCTATAGTCTAGTCTATAGTCTAGTCTATAGTCTAGTCTATAGTCTAGTCTATAGTCTAGTCTATAGTCTAGTCTATAGTCTAGTCTATAGTTTAGTCTATAGTTTAGTCTAAAGTCTAGTCTATAGTCTAGTCTATAGTCTAGTCTATAGTCTAGTCTATAGTCTAGTCTATAGTCTAGTCTATAGTCTAGTCTATAGTCTAGTCTATAGTCTAGTCTATAGTCTAGTCTATAGTTTAGTCTAAAGTCTAGTCTATAGTCTAGTCTATAGTCTAGTCTATAGTCTAGTCTATAGTCTAGTCTATAGTCTAGTCTATAGTCTAGTCTATAGTCTAGTCTATAGTCTAGTCTATAGTCTAGTCTATAGTCTAGTCTATAGTCTAGTCTATAGTCTAGTCTATAGTCTAGTCTATAGTCTAGTCTATAGTCTAGTCTATAGTCTAGTCTATAGTCTAGTCTATAGTCTAGTCTATAGTCTAGTCTATAGTCTAGTCTATAGTCTAGTCTATAGTCTAGTCTATAGTCTAGTCTATAGTCTAGTCTATAGTTTAGTCTAAAGTCTAGTCTATAGTCTAGTCTATAGTCTAGTCTATAGTCTAGTCTATAGTCTAGTCTAGTCTATCTAGTCTATAGTCTAGTCTATAGTCTAGTCTATAGTCTAGTCTATAGTCTAGTCTATAGTCTAGTCTATAGTCTAGTCTATAGTCTAGTCTATAGTCTAGTCTATAGTCTAGTCTATAGTCTAGTCTATAGTCTAGTCTATAGTCTAGTCTATAGTCTAGTCTATAGTCTAGTCTATAGTCTAGTCTATAGTCTAGTCTATAGTCTAGTCTATGGTCTAGTCTATAGTCTAGTCTATAGTCTAGTCTATAGTCTAGTCTATGGTCGTCTATGGTCTAGTCTTAGTCTAGTCTATAGTCTAGTCTATAGTCTAGTCTATAGTCTAGTCTATAGTCTAGTCTATAGTCTAGTCTATAGTCTAGTCTATAGTCTAGTCTATAGTCTAGTCTATAGTCTAGTCTATAGTCTAGTCTATAGTCTAGTCTATAGTCTAGTCTATAGTCTAGTCTATAGTCTAGTCTATAGTCTAGTCTATAGTCTAGTCTATAGTCTAGTCTATAGTCTAGTCTATGGTCTAGTCTATAGTCTAGTCTATAGTCTAGTCTATAGTCTAGTCTATAGTCTAGTCTCTATAGTCTAGTCTATAGTCTAGTCTATAGTCTAGTCTATAGTCTAGTCTATAGTCTAGTCTATAGTCTAGTCTATAGTCTAGTCTATAGTCTAGTCTATAGTCTAGTCTATAGTCTAGTCTATAGTCTAGTCTATAGTCTAGTCTATAGTCTAGTCTATAGTCTAGTCTATAGTCTAGTCTATAGTCTAGTCTATAGTCTAGTCTATAGTCTAGTCTATAGTCTAGTCTATAGTCTAGTCTATAGTCTAGTCTATAGTCTAGTCTATAGTCTAGTCTATAGTCTAGTCTATAGTCTAGTCTATAGTCTATATAGTCTAGTCTATAGTCTAGTCTATAGTCTAGTCTATAGTCTAGTCTATAGTCTAGTCTATAGTCTAGTCTATAGTCTAGTCTATAGTCTAGTCTATAGTCTAGTCTATAGTCTAGTCTATAGTCTAGTCTATAGTCTAGTCTATAGTCTAGTCTATAGTCTAGTCTATAGTCTAGTCTATAGTCTAGTCAATAGTCTAGTCTATAGTCTAGTCTATAGTCTAGTCTATAGTCTAGTCTATAGTCTAGTCTATAGTCTAGTCTATAGTCTAGTCTATAGTCTAGTCTATAGTCTAGTCTATGGTCTAGTCTATAGTCTAGTCAATAGTATAGTCTATAGTCTAGTCTATAGTCTAGTCTATAGTCTAGTCTATAGTCTATAGTCTAGTCTATAGTCTAGTCTATAGTCTAGTGTATAGTCTAGTCTATAGTCTAGTCTATAGTCTAGTCTATAGTCTAGTCTATAGTCTAGTCTATAGTCTAGTCTATAGTCTAGTCTATAGTCTAGTCTATAGTCTAGTCTATAGTCTAGTCTATAGTCTAGTCTATAGTCTAGTCTATAGTCTAGTCTATAGTCTAGTCAATAGTCTAGTCTATAGTCTAGTCTATAGTCTAGTCTATAGTCTAGTCTATAGTCTAGTCTATAGTCTAGTCTATAGTCTAGTCTATAGTCTAGTCTATAGTCTAGTCTATGGTCTAGTCTATAGTCTAGTCAATAGTATAGTCTATAGTCTAGTCTATAGTCTAGTCTATAGTCTAGTCTATAGTCTAGTCTAGTCTATAGTCTAGTCTATAGTCTAGTCTATAGGTAGTCTATAGTCTAATCTATAGTCTAGTCTATAGTCTAGTCTATAGTCTAGTCTATAGTCTAGTTTAGTCTATACCTAATCTATAACCTAATCTATAGTCTAGTCTATAGTCTAGTCTATATTCTAGTCTATAGTCTAGCCTATTGTCTGGATTGATATTGTCTCCAAGTAAACAAATGGGTGTAGAGTATGCGTTCTTTTGCTTATTCGTATGATTCGACAAACATTCAATAAATATTCTAAAACTTTCTCTGCTTTTGATTAGAGTTTCTTATGAAGAAAAAAACTAAATTTAAATGTATTTGTTCTATATAACTATCATTAATCGCGGAAGCATGTTTCTAAAAACCCCTTTTATACTATAATTTTTAATCAAAATAATATAAACTGATTGTCTTGCTTGAATTAAACCCACAAATATAAACAAAAACATTTATATAAATGTTTAGTTTAAGTCCAACTAAAGAGGTCAACTACTAAATCAAATAATGGTATGTTTTAAAATGGATCATTAAAACCCAGAAAAAGTAAAACATAAAACAAAATCATCTTCCTAGTGCATACATTTACAAAATCTAAGAAATTCTATTAATTTATATAAAAAAATAATCATCAATTTTTCATAATATTATATTTATAATTTTCCTTAAATAATAAAACATTTGATTTAAACGTTTTTAAGTTTTTTATAACTTTTTTTGTTTACTAAATTGTTGCTTTTTTTTTTTTTGTAAATATAAAACAAAACAAAAAAATCATCCTTCAAATCATGCTTTACTTTCATGTTCAAATCAAATCAAACAAATAAAAACTAAAGCTTGCCTATAAGCAAGTTACACCACCATTTAAGCCACGTTTAGATTCAGATCGTGATTTGGCCAATTTCCCACCAGAATTTACAGGCGAAGCGGTACAATTAACACCAGATGATGAGTAAGTAATTGTTTGTTTCGTTTTTTTCATTGTATAACTAAATAGCGGTATTTATTAATATTTAATAACTAATTATTTTAATTGTTTTTTAATCTTTTTAATACAATTTTAAAGAAATTTTAAAATTTTTTTATATTGTTTTCGAGTAAAAAATTAATTCTTTTCTTTTTTTTTCTTGGATTTTGTTCTTCTTTTTTCTTTAAAACAGTCGTGTTATTGATAATATAGATCAATCTGAATTTGAAGGTTCGAATATGTTAATCCATTGTTAATGTCTTTGGAAGACGAAGTTTGACATCACGAGTTTTGTGACTTACATCCTATAATATGCGTGTAAGTATGAACAGATATGGATTTTTTTATTATTTAATCTATAGTAGTTTATAGTCTAGTTTAAAGTCTAGTTATCTAGTTAAAGTCTAGTTATCTAGTTTAAAGTCTAGTCTATAGTCTAGTCATGGTATAAGTCTAGTCTATAGTCTAGTCAATGGTCTAGTCTATAGTATAGTCTATAGTCTAGTCTATAGTCTAGTCTATAGTCTAGTCTATAGTATAGTCTATAGTCTAGTCTATAGTCTAGTCTATAGTCTAGTCTATAGTCTAGTCTATAGTCTAGTCTATAGTCTAGTCTATAGTCTAGTCTATAGTCTAGTCTATAGTCTAGTCTATAGTCTTGTCTATAGTCTAGTCTATAGTCTAGTCTATAGTCTAGTCTATAGTCTAGTCTATAGTCTAGTCTATAGTCTAGTCTATAGTCTAGTCTATAGTCTAGTCTATAGTCTAGTCTATAGTCTAGTCTATAGTCTAGTCTATAGTCTAGTCTATAGTGTAGTCTATAGTCTAGTCTATAGTCTAGTCTATAGTCCAGTCTATAGTCTAGTCTATAGTCTAGTCTACAGTCTAGTCTATAGTCCAGTCTATAGTGTATATAGTCTAATCTTTAGTCTAGTCTATAGAGTAGTCTATAGTCTAGTCTAGAGTCTAGTCTATAGTCTAGTCTATAGTCTAGTCTATAGTCTAGTCTATAGTCTAGTCTATAGTCTAGTCTATAGTCTAGTCTATAGTCTAGTCTATAGTCTAGTCTATAGTCTAGTCTATAGTCTAGTCTATAGTCTAGTCTATAGTCTAGTCTATAGTCTAGTCTATAGTCTAGTCTATAGTCTAGTCTATAGTCTAGTCTATAGTCTTGTCTATAGTCTAGTCTATAGTCTAGTCTATAGTCTAGTCTATAGTCTAGTCTATAGTCTAGTCTATAGTCTAGTCTATAGTCTAGTCTATAGTCTAGTCTATAGTCTAGTCTATAGTCTATAGTCTAGTCTATAGTCTAGTCTATAGTCTAGTCTATAGTCTAGTCTATAGTCTAGTCTATAGTCTAGTCTATAGACTAGTCTATAGTCTAGTCTATAGTCTAGTCTATAGTCTAGACTATAGACTAGACTATAGACTAGACTAGTCTATAGACTAGTCTATAGACTAGTCTATAGTCTAGTCTAGACTAGTCTATAGTCTAGTCTATAGTCTAGTCTATAGTCTAGTCTATAGTCTAGTCTATAGTCTAGTCTATAGACTAGTCTATAGTCTAGTCTATAGTCTAGTCTATAGTCTAGTCTATAGTCTAGTCTATAGTAGTCTATAGCAGTCTATAGTCTAGTCTATAGTCTAGTATAGTCTAGTATAGTCTAGTCATAATCTAGTCTATAGTCTAGTCTATAGTCTAGTCTATAGTCTAGTCTATAGTCTAGTCTATAGTCTAGTTATAGTCTAGTCTATAGTCTAGTCTATAGTCTAGTCTATAGTCTAGTCTATAGTCTAGTCTATAGTAGTCTAGTCTATAGTCTAGTCTATAGAGTCTATAGTCTAGTCTATAGTCTAGTCTATAGTCTAGTCTATAGTCTAGTCTATAGTCTAGTCTAGTCTATAGTCTAGTCTATAGTCTAGTCTAGTCTATAGTCTAGTCTATAGTCTAGTCTATAGTCTAGTCTATAGTCTAGTCTATAGTCTAGTCTATAGTCTAGTCTATAGTCTAGTCTATAGTCTAGTCTATAGTCTAGTCTATAGTCTAGTCTATAGTCTAGTCTATAGTCTAGTCTATAGTCTAGTCTAGTCTAGTCTATAGTTTAGTCTATAGTCTAGTCTATAGTCTAGTCTATAGTCTAGTCTATAGTCTAGTCTATAGTCTAGTCTATAGTCTAGTCTATAGTCTAGTCTATAGTCTAGTCTATAGTCTAGTCTATAGTCTAGTATAGTCTAGTCTATAGTCTAGTCTATAGTCTAGTCTATAGTCTACTCTATAGTCTAGTCTATAGTCTTGTCCATTGTCTAGTCTTTAGTCTAGTCTATTTCTAGTCTATTGTATAGTCTATTGTTCAGTCTATAGTCTAGTCTATAGTCTAGTCTATGGTCTAGTCTATAGTCTAGTCTATAGTCTATGGTCTATAGTTTAGTCTATAGTTTGTTTTATAATCTAGTTTATGGTCTACTCTTGTTTTTGTTTTAAAATTTTTTTCTTATTTTCTTAATTTTCTTGCCTTTTTTTCAGCTTTATGGCGAAGATTCCAGTGACTATGATTCAGTTGCTGATGATTTAAGTTTATTACGTTTAAATGCTCCTAATAATAATTTAATTACACATTTAAATAATTATACTAATAATGATCACCAACAACAACAAACACAACAGCCACAACAACAACAATTACATCAACATCATCATTTACATCATGAGCAATTACAACATACGCATGATCCTCAACAACAGCAACAGTATCAAGATCAGCAACAACAACAACATTCTCATAATGGTAACAATAATAATACACATAATGCAAACAATAATAAAAGTTTATTACAGCACATGTTTTGCCTTCCATTAAACTAATCTAAAACTCTCTCCCCCCCCCAAAACCAATATCGAAACAAACAAACAATATAACTACAACAACTACTACTACTACTAAACAGCAACAAAGAACAACTTAAAAATCTGAAAAAAGTTAATAAACGAAATTAAAAGCCTATAACTTCTATTTCCATGTTAAGAATTAAGAAACAAAAAACACAACAAATACCATATGTATCATCATAATTTTAATAAGAAAGAGAGGAGGGAGGACACTTCTAAAAATCGTAAAAAACACTCAGTATAAGAAAAGATTTCAAGAAACAAAAAATATTATAATATTTATAAAACAAAAGTAATAAATAATAATAATAATAATAAAACGTTAACGTAAAAGACATGTATGTACACATTTTTCTATTCCACAACAACGCATTAACTCTTAAGATTATATACTAAAAAAAACAACAACAACAACAAACAAAATAGATTCGTTTATAATTAATGATGCATTAAAGAGCCTAATGAAAGTTTATTAAGATTAAGAAATTAACAAAATAAAACGAAAAATTACAATTTTGAAAATTAAAAATATTTAGTTGTTAGAATTAGTATTGATTTGAAAACAGTTCTAGAGTTTAAAGAAAAGTTTGCTGGACTAAAATATAATGCCATTAAGGTTTTGAGTAGTTTCAGAAAGAATTAGTTTAAAATTTGAACTTTCATTACAAGATTTTCAAAGTTAAAAGGTTTCGATTAAGAGGATGATCGCTGTGATTGTATTTAATCAGTTAGATGAGAAGATTTCACCATTTCAGCGAAATTCTTAATTGAATTCTGAACGTATGACGTTTAAATACAATTTGCAAGACCCTAAACTACAATATAGTAAAATTAACAAATTTGCAAGACTAAAAAAAAACTAGACAAAATGTATTTTCAAATTTTTAAAGAAATTTTGATTTTCATAATCAATTAACAATATAATTGCCCTTGTAAACCTTGCAAATGTACTAAATCTAACATAAATGCTAAAATTTACCATAATAAACAATTTGCAAGGCTTTAAATACAAAATAGCAAATTTACAAGACCTAAAAACCAAACAAAAAGCGAATGTGTTATCTAATTTTTCGAACAACTTTGGATTTTTATATAAAACTAACAAATTATTAGCCTTGTAAACCTTGCAAATGTAATAAATATAACAAAAATGTTTCAATATAGCTAATAAACCATTTACAAGGCTCTAAGTACAAAATAGCAAATTTACAAGACCTAAAAACCAAATAAAAATGAATGGGTTTTCCAATTTTCTAATAACTTTGGATATTTATGTACAACTAACTATTTATTAGCCTTGTAAAGCTTGCAAATGTAGTAAATTTAAAAAAATGCTAAAATTTACAATAATGAACAATTTGCCAGGGCCCCAATTACAAAATAGCAAATTTGCAACATTAAAATCCAGACAAAAACTTAAGTATTTCTAATTTGTATTTTTTGCTTAGATTTTTTTTATAAAACTAACTTTTTGTATGCCTTGTAAACCTTGTAAATCTAACAAAATCTAACAAAAATGCTAAAATTTACCTTAATGAACAATTTGCAAGGTTCGAACTACAAAATACCAAATTTACAAGACTTAAGAAAGCCACATAAACTCAAATTATTTTATTAATTTTTCAATTAATTTTGATTTTCATACGAAATGAATAAATTTTCATCCTTGTAAACCTTGCAAATGTAATAAATCTTTAATAATCTTCCCAATGTTCAAACAACTTGTGATTTTTATACTAATTTTAGTATTTTTGACTATTGCAAGTCTGTCAAATGTAGTGAATCTAGAAAAATCACTAAATACATGATTTACTATATCTAAAACAATTTGCAAGACTTTAAAACATGTAGCAAATGTAGACAATTGATGAGAAAAGCTGTAATTTGCAAGTTAACAAACAAATATTTAATTTACCAAGTTTACAAGGGCTTGTAAATATGAAACATCTGAACCATCGCATTAAATCTTCATAGTAAATTACTCTAGCTAACATAGCAATTCCGAAATTTACTTTTCGTTTTTAGTTTAGGGATTTTTTATGATATTGCAACCCTAGCAAATATTGCAAAACTATTTAAATGCCTGCACTTTATAATAAAACCACAAAATATTTCATTTACTATACCTAAATTTATTTACAAGTCTTTAAAACCTAACAAACAGGTCTTGTAAATATAAGAAATCTTTAAAATCATGCAGAATTTCATATGCAAACATATGCAAGGTCTTGTAAATATATTAAAAGTATATAAAAGTAAAATAAAATATGAGAAATTGAAAGTTATTAACCTTAAGTATATTTGCAATAACAGAAATGGGCAAAAAAGGTCTTGTAAATGGCTAAAGTTAGCAATGAATGAAAAAATATTTTATTACTTTTGCGTTTTTGCCTTTTAAAAAATAATTTCTTTTAAAAAACAAAATTTTATTTACTTTACAGTAGTTAACTGCCCTTGTAAACCTGGCAAACATAGTAAACTAACCTTGCAAACATGGCAAACTTAATTAGTTTTATGCTAGCAATTGCAATAAACACGAAATAACGATTTACTATACTTAAGTAAATTTACAAGGTCTTGCAAATGTATAAAAAGTATGTAAAAGTAATATAAAATATGTGAAATTGAGAGGTATAACCTTTAAGAGTATTTGCAACACCAAAAATAAACAAAAAAGGTCTTGCAAACTGTTAAAATCTGATGCCTAGAACTGTTTTGAAATTAATATTAAACAAAAACCAAAAAAAAATTCTCTTTCTATTTGAAAAAATGATCCGATAACTAAAAAGTATATAAAAAAAGAACAACTTTACTAAAATGCAATAGCTTATGATTAAAGAAAAACAACAACAAAAGAAACTAATAAGTTTTTTTTTTTTTAAATATGTTACAAATTATTATTAAATGTCTGTATTATTGTGTGAGTATTTTTTTAAAAAAGAAATCTAGTTTAAAAAATTAAGTATAAAAACAAACTTTATTCTAAATAAAATTAAAAAAAAAACAAAAAAAAAAAAAAACTTTTTCCGTCTCAATATTTTAATTAATTTATAAAGTTTGAAAGCAAAATAAAAAAAGTAAATTATATTATAACCCCCTTGTATTGTTTAAAACTGAAAAATTTAAAGAAAAATAAATAAATTATTACAAAAAAAAAAAAAAAAAGTTTAAAAACATTCCTTTTTAAAAAAATATTTAGCTCCTTAAACTAATTTACTATACTTTGTTTCTATGTGTATGTACTTATTTAACAATTTTTAAAGTTTTGTTTTAAATTTTTTTTATTTAAAATTTTATGTTCTATGTTTAAGTTTTCATATAAAATATTTTTATTATTTTAAATAAAAATTTCATGATAATTTTTCATAAAAGAAAAGTTTTAATAAAAATTAAATGATTTATTTCTTTGAATTGTAAAAAAACTCCAATTGAAATGTGAAAAAAGGGGCGTGGCAAGTTTTGAAAATATTCTGGTTCGTTTCCTTGTTCATGGTATATTTGCAAGATTAGCAAGTGGTCAGAATTTATCATTGAAAGTATCATTTTGTGTTTAAAATATTTGATTTACTATACCTAAGCAAGATTTGCAAGATTTAAAACATGTAGTAAATGTTGTATATCTAATGTAAAAGCTATACCTAACAGGTTAACAACAAAATATTTAATTTACTACACCAGAAGCCATTTGCAAGACTTCAAAAAGTTTGAAAACCTGTAGTAAATATTGTATATCTAATGTAAATGCTATAACTAACAAGTTAACAACAAAATATTTCATTTACTACACCTAAAGCAATTTGCAAGACCTTGTAAATGTGAAAAAATCTGAGTAAACTTTCAAACTGTCATTAACTGTCTTTATAGTAATATACTCTAGCCGATATAACAATTCAAACTCATGTTTTTAAATTAGTTTAGTGATTTTTTTACTATTGCAACCCTTGCAAATACAGTAAATCTAAGTAAAAGGCTGTAGTTTAAAATAAAACCATAAATATTACATTAACTATCACTGAAAATTATTTCTAGACTTAGAAATATTGCTAATTAGTCTTGTAAATTTGAATTCAGTATTTTTTTTTACTATTGCAACCCTTGCAAATATAGTAAATCTAATTAAAAGGCTATAGTTTACTATAAAACCACAAAATATGTCATTAACTATCAAAAATTATTTCTAGACTTAGAAATATTGCAAATAAGTCTTGTAATCTTACTCTGTTAAGTGTTTTTTATTATTGCACCCCTTGCAAATATTGTATAACTAATAAAATGGCTATAGTTTGTCACAAAGCCAGAAAATATTTCATTTAATATACCTAAAAAGCTATTTTGTGTTTCCCAGACTTACAACAATACTCATAGTAACTTTGCAAGGGTTGCAACTATGCCATGATTTCATTACTATAGTATTTCTTCAACATATTATAAAATTATTCTTCTTTCTCTTACCTTGTTGTCCACTTGAATAACTGTAAAACAAAGAAAATACAAACATTAGCAGAGTATAAACATTGTGGTAAATTTACAAGAGTGATTACATAATACTTAAATGTTTGGCAACATTTCCCTTAGTCACTTTTAATAAGGAAATTTTGCAAAATATTTCATTACCTTTAAGTAAGTCTTGCATATTTACAAGACCTGTCTTGCTATAGTTCTCAGGCTAGCAAATGAGCAAAAGTGTAGAAAAATCAATGTTTCATGTATGTTTCGTAAATTTGTAAAAATTTCATTATTTGCAAGGTTTACAAGACTGCAATTACATTAAAAATATAATTTCGTTAATGATCGAGCAAAAAATCGAGTTAAAAATTTAGAATCTTAGACTCAAGATACCAAATCATTGACGTCTTTAAGTCTTGCATAGTTGCAAGACTTCTATTTTATAGTTTACAGTCTTGAAAATTCGAGTAAATTTAGAAAAATCATGAATCTTGGCAAATTGCTAATTTGCACGGACTATAGTACAGACTATAGTCCAGGCTATATATTAAAGTCTTGGCAAATTGCCAATTTGCACGGACTATAGTCCAGACTATAGACAAGACTACAGTCCAGACTATAGATTAGACTATAGTCCAGACTATAGATTAGACTATAGGCCAGACTATAATTCAAACTATAGAGTCTAGTCTATAGTCCAGCCTATAGCCCAGACTATAGAATAGACTATAGCCCAGACTATAGACTAGACTATAGCCCAGACTATAGACTAGACTATAGCCCAGACTATAGACTAGACTATAGCCCAGACTATAGACTAGACTATAGCCCACACTATAGACTAGACTATAGCCCAGACTATAGACTAGACTATAGCCCAGACAATAGACTAGACAATAGTCCAGACTATAGACTAGACAATAGTCCAGACTATACGCTAGGCTCTAGTCCGACTTTAGTCCTGATTTAGACTAGACTATAGATTAGTCTATAGTCCAGGCTAGACTATAGAATAGACTATAGCCCAGACTATAGAATAGACTATAGCCCAGACTATAGACTAGACTATAGACTAGACAATAGTCCAGACTAGGCTCTAGGCTATACTTTAGACTAGACTATAGTCCGGGCTTTAGATTAGATTATAGTTCAGATTTAGACTAGACTATAGACTAGTCTATAGTCCAGACTATAGACTAAACTATAGTCCATACTATAGACTATACTATAGTCCATACTATAGACAAGACTATAGTCCATACTATAGACAAGACTATAGTCCATACTATAGACTAGACTATAGATTAGACTTTAGTCCAGACTATAGACTAGACGCTAGTCCAGAATATAGGCTAGACTCTAGTCCAGACAATACTCTAGCCCAAACTATAGACAAGGCGCTAGTCCAGACTATAGGCTAGACTCTAGCCCAGATTATAAGCTAAACTCTAGTCCAGACTATAGACTAGACTCTAGTCCAGACTATAGACTACACTCTAGTCCAGACAATAGACTAGACTACAGTCCGGACTATATCCTAAACTATAGTCCAGTCTATAATTTAGGTTATAGTCCAGAATATAGATTATTGTCCAAAATATAGACTAGACAATCGTCCAGATTTATAGATATAGGCAAGACTATAGTCCAGATTATAGTCAAGACTATAGATTATAGATAAATGTTCAGACTGAAGACTAGACAATAGCACAGACTATAGAATAGTTTATGGACCAGACTATAAATAGAATAGACTGTAGTCCAGACTAAAGACTAGACTATAGATAAGACTATTGATTAGACTATATATCATATTAAAGTCCAGACTTTATTCTACACAATAGTCCAGACTATACACTATAGATAAGACTATAGACTAGATTAATTGTAATCTAGACTATATATTCGACTCTGTATGCAAGACCTATGGTCCATACAATATTCCTGACTATATACTACACTATAGATCAAACTATAATCCAAACTATATCCAGGTCTAGAGTCTAAGAAGTGTAGACTAAAGTTCAGACTATAGATTAGAATTAAGTGTAGTGTATAGTGTAGACTGTAGTGCAGACTATAGCCCACATTATAGTTCTAGACTATAGACTCGTCTGCAATTTAAAACTATAGTCAAAACTAAAGTCCAAACTATAATCTAGAATACTAGTCTAGTGAAGTGACTATAGTCTAGTGACTATAGACTAGTGGGTATTATGGATTAGAGACTAAACTATAGTATATATAGACTAATTTCTAAATCTTCAAAGGGCATGCTTGATCCACTTCATTCTCATACAAGTTGGAGCAATTTGTTTTTAATTGTGTTCTGTTTTATGTTTTAGATCGAAAAATTTTAAGACCCCAGTTAATATGTATTAAAATATTGAAAGAAAAAAAATTACTAAAATATTAAAAATAATAAACTGTGTTGTTTGTTACTGCATTATTAAAATAAAATCCCCCCCAAAAAAAATTAACAAATAAATTTATAGTTAAAAATTTTTAGCAAAAAATAAAACAAAATATTTAAGAAAAAAAAATCAAAGCACCTTTGTAAATGATGACTTATATTTATTAAAAATAAAAAATAATTTAAATGAAAAACAAAAAATAAAACATTTTTAAAGAAAAGGGCACTTAAAAAGCAAGACCATTTGAAAAAAGACAAGTCTTTTTTAAATAAAAAAAAAAAAAATAACTCAAGTAGTCAAGTAATCTAAAAGAATTATATTATATATACACACACATTATAATCTAATAAACAAATTCTAAACTTTAAATATTAAGATTTGAAAAATTTTAACTAAAAAACTAAAAAAAAATCGGATTAAAAATACCCAAACAACAAAAAAGCTTTACTGAAAATTATTTTTTCATTTTAAAATTCAATTTCAGTTACAATTGATTTCAATGTTGTGAATTTTCAGTTAAAAAATCTTTTACAAAATCTATGATTTTTACTTTTCTTTTCTAGTAATCTATATACTTTAGGAATTTCATCTTTAAATTGAAAAAAATAAAATGGAACCGAAAACAATTAATTACAAAATAAAATTATAAAAACAACAATAACAACAAAATATTGTTATAAAACAATTATAATAAATTGAAAAATAAAAACTGAAATTAATTCATACAATTATAAGATTTATAAAATGTGTTTTATTTTAAGGGTGAAATTTTGCAAATTCAGAATGATCTAGAAGTTTACTATGGGTCTAAAGTTTAAACTAGATTATATTAAAGAAGAGAACTAGAATTGAACTAGAACTAGAACAGAACAGAACTAGAACTAGAACTAGAACTAGAACAGAACTAGAACAGAACTAGAACAGAACTAGAACAGAACTAGAGCAGAACTAGAACAGAACTAGAACAGAACTAGAACAGAACTAGAACAGAACTAGAACAGAACTAGAACAGAACTAGAACAGAACTAGAACTGAACTAGAACTAGAACAGAACTAGAACAGAACTAGAAAAAAACTAGAACAGAACAAGAACAGAACTAGAACAGAACTAGAACAGAACTAGAACAGAACTAGAACAGAACTAGAACAGAACTAGAACAGAACTAGAACAGAACTAGAACAGAACTAGAACAGAACTAGAACAGAACTAGAACAGAACTAGAACAGAACTAGAACAGAACTAGAACAGAACTAGAACAGAACTAGAACAAAACTAGAACAGAACTAGAACAGAACTAGAACAGAACTAGAACAGAACTAGAACAGAACTAGAACAGAACTAGAGCAGAACTAGAACAGAACTAGAACAGAACTAGAACAGAACTAGAACAGAACTAGAACAGAACTAGAACAGAACTAGAGCAGAACTAGAACAGAACTAGAACAGAACAAGAACAGAAGTAGAACAGAACTAGAACAGAACTAGAACAGAACTAGAACAGAACTAGAACTGAACTAGAACTGAACTAGAACTGAACTAGAACAGAACTAGAACAGAAATAGAACAGAACTAGAACAGAACAAGAACAGAACAAGAACAGAACTAGAACAGAACTAGAACAGAACTAGAACAGAACTAGAACAGAACTAGAGCAGAACTAGGGCAGAACTAGAACAGAACTAGAACAGAACTAGAACAGAACTAGAACAGAACAGAAACAGAACTAGAACAGAACTAGAACAGAACTAGAACAGAACTAGAACAGAACTAGAACAGAACTAGAACAGAACTAGAACAGAACTAGAACAGAACTAGAACAGAACTAGAACAGAACTAGAACAGAACTAGAACAGAACTAGAACAGAACTAGAACAGAACTAGAACAGAACTAGAACAGAACTAGAACAGAACTAGAACAGAACTAGAACAGAACTAGAACAGAACTAGAACAGAACTAGAACAGAACTAGAACAGAACTAGAACAGAACTAGAACAGAACTAGAACAGAACTAGAACAGAACTAGAACAGAACTAGAACAGAACTAGAACAGAACTAGAACAGACTAGAACAGAACTAGAACAGAACTAGAACAGAACTAGAACAGAACTAGAACAGAACTAGAACAGAACTAGAACAGAACTAGAACAGAAATAGAACAGAACTAGAATGGAACTAGAATCGAACTAGAACAGAACTAGAACTCAACTAAAACTCAACTAGAAGTGTAGTAGAACCGAACTTGTACTGGACTAGAACTAAACTATAAGCGAACTAATTAGTATATGTTTGCCCATGACTGGTCAGCGATGATGATGATAAAACTTAACAAGTTCGTATAGACTTCGTTTTTTTTAAGTTCTATTTCCTTTCTCTTCTCTTTCCTTTCCTTCTTTCCCATACAAATGAAACACTTATATTCGTGTTTCGTTTATGCGTACAAGTAAATGTCTACATCACAAAAATAAGGAAAATACCGGGTTAATTTCCCTTTTAGTCATATCTACAAATACTATTTACGAATGCTTCGTTTTCATTCGTTTGGATCGTATGAATAATATTCGTTTTACGTGATCTTGAGTTACTTCTTTCTTCTTTTATGTTATTCTTTACTTGAATATATTTGTACTCTGGTGCATATGTATTTATTTTATGGTAATTTTTATTTACTATTGTGACGTCATATTTCATACGGACCTGCGCATATGGCAAATGCCGTCGTGCAATTCACGAAGATCTATTTCTATTTATCATTTCCAATAACTACTTGATGGAGTTAGGTTGTGTTTTTTTAAATGATATTTAAAGAAGTTAAGTACGTGATTATTTAAAAAAAATTATTTATTTTGATTTAATAATATTTATGTTGTTTGTGTGAAAGTTTGGACTTTTTGCAAAAAAAAAAAAAAAAATTAAAAATAAACAAATAAAAATGTAATTTTTCAAAAATAAAGGGGAATACCAGATTAATACACCACAACAAAACATAATCAAAATCAAGCGTATTTAATAAAGTCAAGCGAGTAAAAGCTTATCTGTGCCGGGTCGGCTGTTGCAAAAAATTGTGTAATTTTGTAAGTTCTTAAAAATTGTTTAATCTAAATTATGATAAAAATAAATAAATACAAAAAAAAAAAAATCCAACATTTAAGCAAATTGTTTTTGTTTTTCAGCTATAAAAAGATCACAATGGTCGTGTTGTCATATCTAACTAAACAACCTGATCCACTGGAAAGATTTGCCTATGATAGTGCTATAAGAAAAAAGAGCACATTAACAAGTGAATATATACTTTTGAACGACACAATATATCCAGAAGTTTGGATTGTGGTCGATTTATATAGTCATATGGATCCGCCACTTTTGTCACCTCATATACTGAGAAAAAATACCGCTAGAAATGCAAAACTAATAATAGACATAATGCAAAAGCCGGTTCCTAATAGCAGCTATTATAAATACAACTTAAATAACTGTCACATACGTAAAACCTGTAGTTTACGGCTAAAAAACGAAATCAAAGGAAAGCTACAATATTTGAAAAGTTGGCAGATGGAACAATCTCTAGATGAAAAAGCTAAGAATGTCATAGAAAATACTATAGATACGGATTATTTTGGTATAAATAGCGGTAAAAAGGTAAGAATATTAAAAAAAATATTCCACATATTCCTATAAATATAACTCAAACTCTTTAGGTCTACATAGGCTTTACTGCTTATGCCCGCAATCCTAGCAATGGTTGTAAAGAACAAATATCAGACACAATATTTTCCAATGCCATTTATGACATCTGTAATTTTTCAACCGTAACACCTAGTTTTGCAACAACTGCTGGTCGTTCAGAACATATCATTAAACTTAGCGATAACCAACTTACAACAACACCATCAAGCGTTCAAATTAAATTATCCCATGAAGATAATAGTTGGCAAGCTTGGACTATGGGTCATTTGCAAAAGATGGTTTACATTTCACTGCCCCACCCTATACGGGCCATATTAATTCGAACGATAACAATCGTCTGATTAATTTGCAAGTTATGGAGAATTTATCTCTTGTTGCCATTAAATTTGTTTATATCGTTAATAATTAAACTATTTATAAGTATATAACTAATTTAACTTTATTTCTAATATATTTATTTTTAATTAATAATTACACTTAAAAAGATCACATTTTGTTGTTATTTTTTTTAATTTGATTTTATAAAGCTTTAACTTTCTTATGTCGATAGTATCGAACAGGGCTCCTGCATTATTTCTTGAATCTTTGCTTCGGGTATTTCTACTTGATTGGCCAGCAGAGTGTGTACAATACCACTAAGCTTATGGCCGCTGGAACGTGTCTGCAGGCGAAATTCAACATCGTTTTCATGGACCACAGTATCGGTGCCACCGTCGACAAATTCGGCCTGAAATAGATTAAAATGTAATTTGCTTTAGATCAAGTCCAGATCAGTTGAAGTATAGTTCGAGGTCTTTACTAGTCCAGTTTAGTTCCACTTATCGTTTAGCTCCAGTACATATCTAGTTCAGTCCTAGTTTAGTTCTACTATGGTTCTAGTTCTGTTCTAGTTCTGTTCTAGTTCTGTTCTAGTTCTGTTCTAGTTCTGTTCTAGTTCTGTTCTAGTTCTGTTCTAATTCTGTTCTAGTTCTGTTCTAGTTCTGTTCTAGTTCTGTTCTAGTTCTGTTCTAGTTCTGTTCTAGTTCTGTTCTAGTTCTGTTCTAGTTCTGTTCTAGTTCTATTCTAGTTCTGTTTTCTAGTTCTGTTCTAGTTCTGTTCTAGTTCTGTTCTAGTTCTGTTCTAGTTCTGTTCTAGTTCTGTTCTAGTTCTGTTCTAGTTCTGTTCTAGTTCTGTTCTAGGTCTGTTCTAGTTCTGTTCTAGTTCTGTTCTAGTTCTGTTCTAGTTCTGTTCTAGTTCTGGTTCTAGTTCTGTTCTAGTTCTATTCTTAGTTCTGTTCTAGTTCTTAGTTCTGTTCTAGTTCTGTTCTAGTTCTGTTCTAGTTCTGTTCTGTTCTGTTCTAGTTCTGTTCTAGTTCTGTTCTAGTTCTGTTCTAGTTCTGTTCTAGTTCTGTTCTAGTTCTGTTCTAGTTCTGTTCTAGTTCTGTTCTAGTTCTGTTCTAGTTCTGTTCTAGTTCTGTTCTAGTTCTTCTAGTTCTGTTCTATGGTCTGTTCTAGTTCTAGTTCTGTTCTAGTTCTTGTCTAGTTATGTTCTAGTTATGTTCTAGTTCTGTTCTAGTTCTGTAGTTCTGTTCTAGTTCTGTTCTAGTTCTGTTCTAGTTCTGTTCTAGTTCTGTCTAGTTCTGTTCTAGTTCTGTTCTAGTTCTGTTCTAGTTCTGTTCTAGTTCTGTTCTAGTTCTGTTCTAGTTCTGTTCTAGTTCTGTTCTAGTTCTGTCTAGTTCTGTTCTAGTTCTGTTCTAGTTCTGTTCTAGTTCTGTTCTAGTTCTGTTCTAGTTCTGTTCTAGTTCTGTTCTAGTTCTGTTCTAGTTCTGTTCTAGTTCTGTTCTAGTTCTGTTCTAGTTCTGTTCTAGTTCTGTTCTAGTTCTGTTCTAGTTCTGTTCTAGTTCTGTTCTAGTTCTGTTCTAGTTCTGTTCTAGTTCTGTTCTAGTTGTTCTAGTTCTGTTCTAGTTCTGTTCTAGTTCTGTTCTAGTTCTGTTCTAGTTCTTTCTAGTTGTTCTAGTTCTGTTCTAGTTCTGTTCTAGTTCTGTTCTAGTTTAGTCTGTTCTAGTTCTGTTCTAGTTCTGTTCTAGTTCTGTTCTAGTTCTGTTCTAGTTCTGTTCTAGTTCTGTTCTAGTTCTGTTCTAGTTCTGTTCTAGTTCTGTTCTAGTTCTGTTCTAGTTCTGTTCTAGTTCTGTTCTAGTTCTGTTCTAGTTCTGTTCAGTTCTGTTCTAGTTCTGTTCTAGTTCTGTTCTAGTTCTGTTCTAGTTCTGTTCTAGTTCTGTTCTAGTTCTGTTCTAGTTCTGTTCCAGTTCTGTTCTAGTTCTGTTCTATTTCCGTTCTACTTCTATCTACCGTTTCATTCCGTAGTTTATCATTGATGAATAAATTCAATGTATCCAATTCCAGCATAATCCGATATTCTACACCATTTATAGTTGTAACCCATAAACGATATTGTTTTGTCTGTTCCTCGGTATACTGATCATGAGATTTGCCATCAATAAAAAGAAGATATTCATATTTGAAACCGGGCGCCGGATCGACACGTATAATACAGCGGGCATCATTTATATAAAAAGTATCTTCACCCACCAACTTAAACATCCAGTCACGTCTTAAGACTTCCTAAATTGTGAAAAAGTTTAAGTATAATGTAGAAAAAAGATTTTTGCCACTTAATGCCTCTAACCTTGCCATTAACCCATATCATACGTCTGCCACTGGTTGTGCCATGTTCCAGTTCAATTCGATACATTTTACCATTTATCGGTGCACACCATTTGGCTACAATATTATTTTTATTATAACGTTTCTCTTCCGGTATATGATCCAAACTCATGATGGGTTTTGTTGAGAGATTTTCTAATTTCAACAGGGGCGATAAAAATGACATGTTATGGATCAAAGAAAAAAACTGTAAGTAAAACAAGTATAGAGATATTGTAGATAGTTTAGATCAGTTTCTTTTGATCACTTTATATCGAACAAAGATTCTTGAAAAACTCAATTTATTTGAATCTTGGGAATGACTTTATGGAATTCTGAATTAATATTCTTAACGTGTGTGATGTAGTTTTACTTTTCACTTTTGCATTTTTTGTTAGAAAATATAGATGATCATATATTATAGGTTTTTTCTTAATTGGAACGATATTTAAAGATTAACTGCCGATTTTAAATTTATTTAATTTTAAAATTTTTTTCTCAAGGATTTTAAACCACATTTGTTATAACTTTTTTTTTACAAACTTTTATGAAGGACTTTAGCATATATTTAAATCATTAAAAACTATTAATTATTTAAAATTTTTCTTAATTCACTTATACACACAAACTTTAGTTTAATAGATAATAGCTCCCCAGTGTAATTACTATGGTATGTCATGACATCACACACGTTAGTAATGCATGATAATTGCGCGTTAATTTTATTTTAAATTTACATTTTAATTAAAAACTATTAGTTTTTTCTTTTCTCTGTAAATATTTACTTAAAATCGTTTAAAAAAACTCCCTTTTTTGTTTGTTTATTTGGTCAAAAACCTTTTTTGCGCGACTATTTTAAAATCTTCCAAGACAATAATACGTTTATTTGTAGAGCAATGATTTTATGGATTTTACAACACATTTAAAGTGGAAAATAATAATAACTGAGTGTTTACCGCTAGAGCGCTAATAAAATACTAAAAAAATATTTCTTGTAAAAACACAAGAAATACAACCGAAATAACAAAAACAACAACAACAACAGAACCACAACAACAGCAGCAAACAACAAAAACAATTTATAAACGAATTGTTTGCTAGCTGGATGGATGTCCTATAGCCAAATGTAAGTATTTATTCCCTTAACGCTTTTTACCAAAAAGCATAGACGACACTAGCTCGTATACTAGTAGTGAAATAAATGTATTACTGACACTACCACTAACACTTACTCATACCACCACTCATACCATTACCTTTGGTAGTATTGTTGGCGACGAAGAGGATATATACACACACACACACACATTGACTCACATACTCATGTCAACTCATACTTAGGCAACTAACCAAACAGCCAGCCAACCAGACAAACAATCAGCCAAATTGTAGAAGAATAAAAACCAAGCTAACGAACCAATGTTATTAGTAAGTAGATCTAGCAACATGCACTATGGGTTAAGATAAACAATTCTAGTCCAGCTCTAATTTATAGTGTGAACTATAGTTTGGACTCAGTCAAGTCTACCGTTGGACGATAACTGGTCCATAGTTTAGTAAATAGTCCTAGGTAGATATATAGTCAAGCCCACAGTCTGATCTATATACTAGCTTTTAATCTAATCTGGACTATAGTCTAGTCTACAGTCTAGCCTATAGTCTTGTCTATAGCCAATTCTATAGTCTAGTCTATAGTCTAGTTCATAGTCTAGTCTATAGTCTAGTCTATAGTCTAGTCTATAGTCCTAGTCTATAGTCTAGTCTAGAGTCTATCTATAGTCTAGTCCTATAGTCTAGTCTATCTAGTCCTAATAGGTCCTAGTCCTAATAGTCTAGTCATAGTCTAGTCCTATATTCTAGTCTATAGTCTAGTCTATAGTCGGGTAGTTCTATAGTCCTAGTCTATAGTCTAGTCTATAGTCTAGTCTATAGTCCTAGTCTATAGTCGGTCTAGAGTCTAGTCTATAGTCTAGTCTAGTCTAGTCTAGTCTAGTCTATAGTCTAGTCTATAGTCTAGTCTATAGTCTAGTCTATAGTCTAGTCTATAGTCTAGTCTATAGTCTAGTCTATAGTCTAGTCTATAGTCTAGTCTATAGTCTAGTCTATAGTCTAGTCTATAGTCTAGTCTATAGTCTAGTCTATAGTCTAGTCTATAGTCTAGTCTATAGTCTAGTCTATAGTCTAGTCTATAGTCTAGTCTATAGTCTAGTCTATAGTCTAGTCTATAGTCTAGTCTATATCTAGTCTATAGTCTAGTCTATAGTCTAGTCTATAGTCTAGTCTATAGTCTAGTCTATAGTCTAGTCTATAGTCTAGTCTATAGTCTAGTCTATAGTCTAGTCTATAGTCTAGTCTATAGTCTAGTCTATAGTCTAGTCTATAGTCTAGTCTATAGTCTAGTCTATAGTCTAGTCTATAGTCTAGTCCTATAGTCTAGTCTATAGTCTAGTCTATAGTCTAGTCTATAGTCTAGTCTATAGTCTAGTCTATAGTCTAGTCTATAGTCTAGTCTATAGTCTAGTCTATAGTCTAGTCTATGTCTATAGTCTAGTCTATAGTCTAGTCTATAGTCTAGTCTATAGTCTAGTCTATAGTCTAGTCTATAGTCTAGTCTATAGTCTAGTCTATAGTCTAGTCTATAGTCTAGTCTATAGTCTAGTCTATAGTCTAGTCTATAGTCTAGTCTATAGTCTAGTCTATAGTCTAGTCTATAGTCTAGTTTATAGTCTAGTCTATGGTCTAGTCTATAGTCTATGGTCTAGTCTATAGTCTATAGTCTGGTCTATAGTCTAGTCTATAGTCTAGTCTATAGTCTAGTCTATAGTCTAGTCTATAGTCTAGTCTATAGTCTAGTCTACAGTCTAGTCTATAGTCTATAGTCTAGTCTATAGTTAGTCTTCTAGTTTTAAGTTTTTCTAGTTCTGTTCTAGTTCTTTTCTGATTCAGCTATTTTAGACTCCTTGACTTTTGTCTGCATTTTGCAGTCATTCAACCCATTGTGCTACTTGTGTCTGAATAAATGTATGAACATACATATATAATTGTGTGTATTTGTTTCTCATGTCTGTCTCTAAATGTATGTATGTTTACACAAGACATGGCGTATTTGTTAAAGGGGCAAATTATACGTTTGTATAAATTCTAGGCGCCAAATACCATCCACGCACACACTCACACAATTCTATAAATACATATACGATTTCTAACAAACAAATATTTCATACCGAAAATTTTGAAAAAAGAAAGAATTTCGTTAAAAAATATAATACGTACATATGTATATGTAGATATATTTCAAATGTAAACCAAGTGGCCAAGGTACTTATACAAGCATACATTTACTACTCACTCTGACACACACACACTCACTCAATACATACATAGACATGTGTTTTTATTGCAATCGCAAAGATATAAAATATTTGAAAAGACAGTCATATACAGACATTTTTATTAAAAATAAATGTAAGTAAGTTAAAGGAAACGTTAAAAAAACTCGACATACATACGTGTTCGTCGATTGTTGTAAGTGGAAGTATACTTGAGTTTTACATTTTTCTTATTGCATTTTCTTTTCGTGTTTGTTTTTGGAACAAATACCTTCATATTTCTGTTTCCATATAAATAATTTTAATGTGTTACATGTAGCATAAAACGCGTCAAATGTTGGCGAATAAAGAAAAAAACTCAACCACGTATCCTTATCCTCGCCTGAATACCAGTAGGTGATTGTTGACGTTGTTATTACTGCTTTTGGGGAGACAAATCCCTCATGCATAAAATGAGTGCCGAGCATGATGGATGGATGGTTGGATCAAATCTTCTGTTGACATGTTCATAAGTAAAGTATTGGATGCTGTAAGCCGTTCAAGGACTGCGAATGGTTTAAATATGATCACTTTTTAAATTGGGCATATGTTGTAGAAAGGCTCATGCAAGTTTATATTTCTGTTCTAGTTCATTTTCATCTTGTTCTAGTTCAATTCTAGTTCAGTTCTAGTTCAGTTCTAGTTCAGTTCAGTTCTAGTCAGTTCTAGTTCAGTTCTAGTTCAGTTCTAGTTCAGTTCTAGTTCAGTTCTAGTTCAGTTCTAGTTCAGTTCTAGTTCAGTTCTAGTTCAGTTCTAGTTCAGTTCTAGTTCAGTTCTAGTTCAGTTCTAGTTCAGTTCTAGTTCAGTTCTAGTCAGTTCTAGTTCAGTTCTAGTTCAGTTCTAGTTCAGTTCTAGTTCAGTTCTAGTTCAGTTCTAGTTCAGTTCTAGTTCAGTTCTAGTTCAGTTCTAGTTCAGTTCTAGTCAGTTCTAGTTCAGTTCTAGTTCAGTTCTAGTTCAGTTCTAGTTCAGTTCTAGTTCAGTTCTAGTTCAGTTCTAGTTCAGTTCTAGTTCAGTTCTAGTTCAGTTCTAGTTCAGTTCTAGTTCAGGTCTAGTTCTGTTCTAGTTCAGTTCTAGTTCATTCTCTTTCAGTTCTTTCAGTTCTAGTTCAGTTTTAGTTCAGTTCTAGTTTAGTTCTAGTTCAGTTCTAGTTCAGTTCTAGTTCAGTTCTAGTTTGTTCTAGTTCAGTTCTAGTTCGTTCTAGTTCAGTTCTAGTTCAGTTCTAGTTCAGTTCTAGTTCAGTTCTAGTTCAGTTCTAGTTCAGTTCTAGTTCAGTTCTAGTTCAGTTCTAGTTCAGTTCTAGTTCAGTTCTAGTTCAGTTCTAGTTCAGTTCTAGTTCAGTTCTAGTTCAGTTCTAGTTCAGTTCTACTTCAGTTCTAGTTCAGTTCTAGTCAGTTCTAGTTCAGTTCTAGTTCAGTTCTAGTTTCTAGTTCAGTTCTAGTTCAGTTCTAGTTCAGTTCTAGTTCAGTTCTTCGTTCTAGTTCAGTTCTAGTTCTTTCTAGTTCAGTTCTAGTTCAGTTCTAGTTCAGTTCTAGTTCAGTTCTAGTTCAGTTCTAGTTCAGTTCTAGTTCAGTTCTAGTTCAGTTCAGTTCTAGTTCAGTTCAGTTCAGTTCTAGTTCAGTTCTAGTTCAGTTCTAGTTCAGTTCAGTTCAGTTCTAGTTCAGTTCTAGTTCAGTTCTAGTTCAGTTCTAGTTCAGTTCTAGTTCAGTTCTAGTTCAGTTCTAGTTCAGTTCTAGTTCAGTTCTAGTTCAGTTCTAGTTCAGTTCTAGTTCAGTTCTAGTTCAGGTTCTAGTTCAGTTCTAGTTCAGTTCTAGTTCAGTTTCTAGTTCAGTTCTAGTTCAGTTCTAGTTCAGTTCTAGTTCAGTTCTAGTTCAGTTCTAGTTCAGTTCTAGTTCAGTCTAGTTCATTCTAGTTCAGTTCTAGTTCAGTTCTATTCAGTTCTAGTTCAGTTCTAGTTCAGTTCTAGTTCAGTTCTAGTTCAGTTCTAGTTCAGTCTAGTTCAGTTTCTAGTTCAGTTCTAGTCAGTTCTAGTTCAGTTCTAGTTCAGTTCTAGTTCAGTCTAGTTCAGTTCTAGTTCAGTTCTAGTTCAGTTCTAGTTCAGTTCTAGTTCAGTTCTAGTTCAGTTCTAGTTCAGTTCTAGTTCAGTTCTAGTAGTTCAGTTCAGTTCTAGTTCAGTTCTAGTTCAGTTCTAGTTCAGTTCTAGTTCAGTTCTAGTTCAGTTCTAGTTCAGTTCTAGTTCAGTTCTAGTTCAGTTCTAGTTCAGTTCTAGTTCAGTTCTAGTTCAGTTCTAGTTCAGTTCTAGTTCAGTTCTAGTTCAGTTCTAGTTCAGTTCTAGTTCAGTTCTAGTTCAGTTCTAGTTCAGTTCTAGTTCAGTTCTAGTTCAGTTCTAGTTCAGTTCTAGTTCAGTTCTAGTTCAGTTCTAGTTCAGTTCTAGTTCAGTTCTAGTTCAGTTCTAGTTCAGTTCTAGTTCAGTTCTAGTTCAGTTCTAGTTCAGTTCTAGTTCAGTTCTAGTTCAGTTCTAGTTCAGTTCTAGTTCAGTTCTAGTTCAGTTCTAGTTCAGTTCTAGTTCAGTTCTAGTTCAGTTCTAGTTCAGTTCTAGTTCAGTTCTAGTTCAGTTCTAG